TTTATATACAGTTCTTAGATAAAAGGATGTGAAAGGGCCACTGAACCTCTTCACAAAAATTAAAAGTAAGCTTTCCTTATTCTGCAACTGGTGAATTGTAGGCGAAGGTACCTTAAAATAGCATTTAACCATGCAGCCTGTGTGGGTGTTCTCCATTCCAACCCAACTAAAGAGGGACCCAGTAATTGCATAGCAGAGAAAAGTGAGTAGAGTATTTTCTAAAACAAGTAGCATATTTTCCATTATGTAAAAGAGGAAAAAAAAATAGCTTTTAGAAAGCCACACCTAGGTTTCGTGGACTTCTCTTTGGTTTCGTACATATCCAGATGGGAGAGGGAAAGGAGAGGTAGTCATTGTTCTTTAGGGCATCCATCAGCCTTTGTTTATTTTTCCTGTAGATCCTAAAGATCCATTATGGAGACCTGGGATTGTAAATCTGCATTAGTCCTAGCAGGCAGGCTCTGAAGAGTGGGCTGGGGCAGCCTCATAGGGAGTGCTGGTCCTAGTGAGAGAATGGTTGCATTGAGGTAGCACCAGGACACCAGGGATTTACAGCCCTTAGTTTTCTGTAGGAGAAAAGCATGTTCCTGCATTTAAGGTCACTGTGTCAGGCATGATCAGAGTTAAACCAGTGCTTACTCTCTCCTCGGGCTTGTGGTTTCTTTTTCCATCAACATATGACAGTAGAAACTTCACTATTATTTGATTTGCTTGTTTTCCGGCTATCTCCCCAGTACACTGGAAGCCCCACAAGAAGGGGCTGAAACCAGTCTTACCAGAGCCTAGTGCAGCTCTGTGTGCATTAAAAGTGGGCAGAGCCTAGTAGCTGCATGTGGAGTGTTACATCTGTGTAGGGGCACAGTGTGCAGTGTGACTTGTCCATGGGCCTTCTCAAGGGTTTTTCTATGGGGGCTCAGCCCTGATGCGACAGGCTGAATGTCTTCTGTTGCTCACTGGAAGGACATATGACGGTGGCATAGATTGCTTACAGGTAAGGCCCCTACCCCCACCCTTGTTCTGGGTTTCCTGGTCAGCAGGAGAGGTATCCCTTTATAATGGGTCTATAGACCCATCCTACACAGCATGTCCAAATCCCTACTCTCCACTCCTATGTTGAGAAACATCTGGTCGTCTTCAGGTAATGGGTCAGTTTGGAGTGAGGAAGGTATATGTTGATGACAACTGGTCATAGAATGACCATCGAAAGGAAGACACTTCCGTTCTGCTTTCTTGTCTTCAGTTATAGCAGCTTATTTTTTCCCTTCTGCTTGGAGGTGGTCTTATACCTTGAGACCTTCATCTTCTCTCTCCTGTTTCATTTGCCACTTGCTTTCTTCTCCGCTCCTTTAACCTTACTCCCATCTCTTATCTCAGAGAGGAATAAACCAGCCATGCAGATGGATCATCTTTGACAAACCTCCTGTCTTGTTTTTGCTTCGGTCTGAGTACGAGGGAGGGAGAGGTGGGAAAGTAAGATGGACAACAACCCAATTACTACTTCTAGCCATAACTGGGTCTCAGCATTATACCTCACTCCCTGTGGAAGTTCAGAGGCCTCTGAATGTGAGCTGACATACTCCTATGCATTGAAATTATTTGCTCTTTATTTGTGTTGCATGTACACTTGGTTCAGTTCCAGAAACACTATCTAAGCATCCACATTGTGCCATATTCTGTGCACCATCCTCAGTGTATGTGCATGTTTGTTTTCCTTTCCCTTATAGTTGGAAAGGGATTTAGAAGTCACCTAGTCCCAGGCCCTTTATAGGCAGATGCAGAGAGTGGGGCCCTGGAAGATAAAGTGATGAGTCAAGGCCTCAGGGTTGGTGTAGCATTTGGCCTCACACATGACCAGAGCTCTGCCCAGTGGCCTCTGGGGTGTGGAGATAATTCGTAATAAACCCAGTGTTCAGTGCTAAAATAAAATAAACCCAGTGTTCAGTCCTAAAATAAGAGCATGTATATATATAAAAACATGCTTTTATATATTTTTTATTTATATACATATATTTACATATTTATTATTTTATATACATATTATACATGCTTATATATATACATGGAAAAACTAAGGTTTAGAATAGCAAAAATGCTTGCCCAAAGTCAGATGCATAGAAGGTAGCAGAGCTGAACATGTCCTCTTCTGCTTTGTAGAATATATAAGAACACATGGAGTCTACAAGAAGCAGCAGGTTCCACACCCTTCCTCTAAATGTAGGGAGGGACTTCTTTCCTTCCTTCCTTCCTACCTTCCTTCCTTCCTTCCTTCCGTCCATCCATCCGTCCTCCTTCTTCCTTGTATTAATCTGCTAATACAGTTAGAGCTGCCATTAAAAAAGAAAAATATTACAGGGACGCCTGGGTGGCTCAGTTGGTTAAGCAGCTGCCTTAGGCTCAGGTCATGATCCCAGCGTCCTGGGATCGAGTCCCACATCGGGCTCCTTGCTTGTCAGGGAGCCTGCTTCTCCCTCTGCCTCTGCCTGCCATTCTGTCTGCCTGTGCTTGCTCTCTCTCCCTCTCTCTCTCTGACAAATAAATAAATAAAATCTTTAAAAAAAAAAAAAAAAAAGAAAAATACTACAGACTGGGTGGCTGAAACAACAAACATTTATTTCCTCAGTTCTGGAGGCTGAAAGCTCAAGATCAAGGTGATGGTAGAGTCGGTTTCTCTCGAAGCCTTTCTCCTGGCTGGAAAATAGCCACTTTTTCACATGGCTTTTCCTCTGTGTATGCATCCCCGGTGTCTCTCTCGCAGTGTTTATATGAGCCCAATCATATTGAATCAGGGCCCCACCCTTAGACCTCATTTTCCCTTTAAAAGCCCCATCTCCAAATACAGTTGCATTGGGGGTTAGGTCTTCAACATATGAATTTGAGGAAGACACAATTCAGTCCGTAATGTAACTCTTGGGTATTGTGAATAATATTGCTATGAATAAGGGTGCACAAATATCTGTTTGAGTCCCTGCTCTCAATTCTTTCAGGGTATCTATGCAGTAGCAGAATTACTGGATCATATGGTTGTTCTATTTTTAATTTTTTTTTTTGAGGAAATGACATACTGTTTTCTATAGCACCTGTACCATTTTACATTCTCATGTCATCATTTCTTAATTTTCAAAATAGTTTTGCTCTTTTTTGAAAGGTCACTCTCCAAGGTCTGCCAGTAGGAAGTTTGTCTGGGATTTTGTTTGTTTGTTTGTTTGTCTCCCAGATGCCTAGAACTCTTTTCAGAAACTTGGTGCCCTTGCTTCTGCGTAGCTCCTGTCAGAAACCTCAGGTTCTTACTTTCACACTCAAATGCTGGGAGAACATCCCAGAAAGGAGGAGGGAGCAATAAAAGGGTGACCTGATCTTAGGAAGATGCCTAATCTGAACTGTGGGCCCTCAGTCAGCAGCCCCTGAGCACAGAGGAGGTTTGTGCCTTCATCTCTGAGCACGGCAGAGGAGGTAACTGGAGCCCATTTAGTAGGGAACAACTTTGAAAACACTGCTGTGGGCTCCTATTTATTTACATCAACAGCATGGATGAGGGTACGTGTGTACGAACAGGTATTGTGGGGGGGGGGAGGGGCCCCAGTGTGAAGAGATGCTGGAGGTAGGCACTTAGGTGAGGTAAGGCATGAGGGTATAGATGTGGGTAGGGGTGTGTGTGTACTGAATAGATGTGAGAGCGGGAGCTGAGTATGAGGGTGTATATATGGTGTGTGTATGGTGGGGTGTCTCTGTGTGTATGTGTATAGTAGGGGATAGAAAAAGGTGAGTGTGAAGAGTAGGAATGAGAGTGTATATGAGGTTATTTGGAGGTTAAATGTATGTGCAAGTAGTGTGAAGGTATGGGGTTGGCATGAGGGTGTGGAGAACAGGGGGTGAAGGTAGGGTAGGGTATAAGGGTATGCACGGGATAGGGATGGGGGTGAATGTATGAAGATGTGTGGGGAATAGGGGATGTGGAGGGTAGGGTGTGAGTGAGTATGTGTGTACTGGAGGGTCATAATAGGCACAGGATCAAGTCTCCACTCCAGGTGGCCACCGCTGCCAGGAGCTCTGTGGGTGGAGGAGCTGCTGAGGCCTGCAGAGCTTTCCTGTTGCAGGGGAGTGGCACCCCGCCAAGGCCTCAGGCGTGACTCACTTTCACCTGGTCAGGGGAATTAATTTGCTGGGCATCTGCATCATGGCAGGATACATGCGTCAGTCTGCATGACTCTGTTCTTATTAAGAACCATGGGAGAAATTTAAACTGAGAAATGAAGGGGGTGGGGAGAGGGTTGTTCTGGGAGCTAAGAAATTGCTTCTCCCTCAGTGACCAAGGCCCTCTCCCTTGCTTCCTCCACCCTACTTTCGATATAGGCATCTATAGCCATCCCATATGAGGGAAGCAACTTCAGAAGACACACATGAGTGCATGCATATACCCTCCCAGACACAGATGTAGATCAGGGAGCCCAGAAGCACCTCCCAGATGCCAGGCGGCCTCTGCAGCAGTAACTCTTTATGCACTGCGGTCTGCTGCAGTCTTCGTAGTTAAGGGATGCTGGCTTTTATGAATGGTAGCCTGGGAGGGGCCTAATGTCACTTGCTCCTGATGTCAGCACAATGAATGAAACACTTGCAAAGCGTAAAGCCTCAAGCACTCGGGGAAGCAGATACCATCTCAGATTGGCTCCTTCTGGTGCAGCCTCTCCTGCTGACGAAATCACCAGTCCCGTGTGTGACACATAAAGCCATATACGTTAGGACTGAAATGAGGCAGAAACTGAGGCTGCATGTGAAATAATGTGTATCTGATTCTGGCACAATCAGCTCTACCTGAAGCAGCTGGAGCTGAGATCTTCCCCCTGCCAGGCGCTGGAGGAAGGTGTTCTGCGGAGCTACGGACTCACTGTTGTGTATTAGGCAATTACTTAGCTAGCCCGATGTTCTGCTTTTGCTGGCAGAATTCCTTGCTGAAGCTCCAAGCCCTGGAAACTGATCTGTGCTCTGCATTTTTGGCAAACCAGGAAGAAGCTGCTCAGGTGCACGGACTCAAGGACCCAACCCCAGTGTCGACCCAGAGTGCGCCTGTGGAAGGCGCAGATGCTGCAGGTAAGAGGCTGGGCTGGGGACAGGTCTTCACGTGTACTGTCAGGATAGTTCAGCTTCTTGCTGCTTCCCTAAACCTGGCCTCCGGTGGGGAAACCATGCCTGGTGCAACAGAAAAGCTGAAGAGGTGCTCGAATTGTAGCGGGGGAGCTGAGAGGGAGCAGGAGGCATCAAGGCGTGTGCTGGTATAGAGTATGCTCTCCAGCTGGGGGCCAAGCGTCAGACTTAAGCATAAATAGGTGTCCGGTGAAAAACGCTCACCACAACTCCTGGTCCTAATGAATTCCTACTTGGTTTTCTGTGACAAACAAGTGGTGTACTTATTTTCTATCACTGGATGTAGGTAATCTGTACTGTCTTGATACTGATAGTATTTTTGAGGTATTCAGTGATAGGAGAGTTTTAACATGACTACTTGCTTTCTTCTATTACCTGCTTGTAAGATGATTCAACATAGGCAAAGAGGAGGTGAGCGGTGTAACTCTTTCTGATCCTATGTTGTCTTTTTCTGTCTCAATTTTTTTTTTCCTGCATTAACTTCTATGTTGAAAAGTCTCAGAATTGATTTCCATTTGTCTGATAGTTTCTCTGGTTTTAACCCCAGAGATGGTAGATTGGCTAGTAAGCAGAAGGCAAATTAATGCTTCCAGAAAGACAGGAAAGAAACACTAATTTATATGAGTAGAAATGAGAGCACAGCTTATCTTTTATAACCCAGATGGGTAAGAGGTTTATAGACTGGTTTCTGGATGGCTGATAAAAATAGGATTAGGGGAACTTGCTTCATGAGATGTCCTTTATCTCCAGGAACTGAAAGAAGAGATTTAAAAAGGTAATGTATTTCAGTGTCATTATTAATAGCTCATTTAAGATATTACTGGTTAAAACAGATCCATATGGTCTAAGTAGGTAAAAACATCATCCCAGTGTTTATTAAGTATGTTAATTAATAATTAAGAGTATTAATAATAGTTACTAATACTCTTAGTAGCTTTATTACTATTGAAGATTTTTGTGCTCCAGGCACTAAGTCCTTTATATATTTTATATTAAATCCTTAAACTAATCTGTGAAATAATATGCTTCACGATAAGGACACTGAGGCCTAGTGTAACCCTGCTGGTAAGTGGTAAATTATTTCCCCATGGATGCAGGTGGCTAGTTGACTGTCCTTATTTTCTGATGAGCTCCCCTTGCTCTGCTAGCCATCCATTATGTTTTGATGAAAGGCAATAAGAGGGGGCAGGACCCAATGTCAGTCCAATTAGAGTTTTAAGTCAGTTTATTAGAGACACTTTTCTTCTTTTCCCCCAACCCCAACAAACACATATAAACACATAACGAAGTCTTAAGCCAGATGCAAATTCACCTTTGAGTTGTCTGATGTTTTGTATAGCTACACAAGTATCTGGAAAAGAGTTATAAAATATTTGTATGATATATATATATATATATATTTTTTTTTTTCTATTTTAAATCATGACTTTTTTGTGTGTGTATGTGTCATAATCTCCAATGGTCAAGAGTAGTTTTGTATTTTCTCATTCTGGATGGACAGGATTTTGAACAAGCTTATTAACACTCCTTATATAATGGAAATACATGCCAAATTTTTGTAGAAATTGCCCATACCAAAGGAACAATCCATACATGTCATGTTAAGTGTCAAACGGCAGAAATGGACAGAAGGCTCCTTACAGAGGATGCGAATTTCCAAAATGTAGGTGAATCTGAGGTGTCCCAGAGCCCTTCCAAGAGAGTCTATGAGGATGAAAGGTTTTCATTCTGTGTGTGTGTGTCCACACACTAGTTAAGAATATTTCTGGCAAGTCTGGCAAGTTTTCAAAGATAAAATCCATAAAATCTTGATGTTTTTCACCTTCGTAGAGCTTATGAATAAGGAATCTCATGTCCAAAATGACTGCATAAGAGTGAAGTAGCTCCAGCCCCCATATTGGACCTTGTAGTACTTTGACATATATCTTCTCTCATTTTCTAATAACACAATCTCGAAACCACTTGCCAGATGTTTTCAGGGACCTAAAAAGTCTCTGCATTTGGCAGGGATAGTGCCAATGTGGCAAACATTTGGAATAGTTTTTCACAGATTAATTTATGGGATCATTGCTTCTCATTGGCTTCCAAAAATGAGTGTTTATAGGAAGGTCATATGTATACATATATTTTTACATTTAATTAATTAATTAATTATTTTTGATCATATATTTCCTAATCCATGTGTCACTCAGAAAGAAGAAATGTTTGCTCATCTTAAAGGCTCAGGGACTGTGAAAGGATTTCTAGAGCGATCTTTGACCACCTCGAAACTAATTTTTATGTGTATAAAAATCCATGTTGAGAGTGTGATCACATAAGATTAGTATAAATGACCATAAATCTATAAAGGATTATATAACTTAAAATTTTCTTCTTCCCAAAGCCTAGCATCTAGCCCTGAACCTTACATGTATATATCTATTCAATTAGTAATTGTTGATGTCAGTAATTGGTATAACAAAGACAAAACCCAACAGGTGATTTTTACAGAAATATCTGGATATAATATGCTACCAATTAACTATTAAAGGCAAACATTTATAAATATAAATTGATCTGACTTAAATAGATTTCAAGCTTACTTTAGACTCAATTAGGGCATGACAAGTAAAGTGTGTAGGCATTTGAAATGGTCTCTTGAGATCAACGTGTGGGTTTTAACTTGGATTTATAGGTTACAAAGGTCAGTCCTTCCTAGTAAAATATCTGAAAAGCATCTACATTCTGGAAATGCAATTATAAACTGCCCTTGCAGCAGAAACACATTTCATGGCACCCCTGGAGGAGCACTGGGTTCTGAATATTGTTGGTGAGCCTTCCTGCACCTGATAATTACCAAGAAGCTTTTCACATATGGGGATTCTTAGTCCTCATCGCTGGGCAGTCTGAGGTGGAAGTCCTGTGATCTTTATATTTCTTAAACACTCCCAAGTAGTGGGAACCATTATTAAGTGTCTTGAATTAGGAGGGAGAAGGTCAGGTTCTCTCAGGTTCTCTTTGATTCTGCTTCGCCTCAATTTCTTGGATGACTTGGACTTATAACTCAGGGTCTGTGACCAATCAGCTCAGTCCATTTACTTTAGGAAGAGAAGGGTGCTCAAGCATCCAAGTCCTCAGGTTAGAGATGTGTGGGGTGGGGACATGGACCAGGGTTAGGGCAGATTTGGGGGATATAGAGACCCTTAGAAAAAAGTGATAGAGAGGGAAGCAGCTGCAAGAGGACTTTTAGACTATACATGGGGTTATCAGTTGTCATGGTTTGCCCAGGAATGTCTAAGTTTTAGCACTGAAAGTCCCACATGCTGGGAAATTCTCAGTCCCAGGCAATCTGGGATAGCTGGTAACCCTACCTGGAGGATGCAAATTGCATATTTTGAGATGGAAACCCCCTCCACACTGAGACGCAAAATCCCTCTGCCTATATCAATAGCCTCTTAAAGCCGAAGCAAATCCTTCCTCTGTGGCATTAGTAAGGATCTATTCTGGTGTTGTTGAATAGAAAATGGAATGAACATTGTCTTTTCAACTGCTTGTCATTTTCAGAGTGTGCAGAAGGACTGTTTGTTCTACATGACTAAGCATAGTAACCCCTATTCTGTCTGAACATGGGTGATTGATGGTATGGAGTTTGTAGCAAAAGCTGTCACCAGAGATAACTGAAGACTTATTACTAGAAATAATAAACCACAGCAGTTTCTAATTAATTCTTTTGTTATAAAATCTTGGTTTTCAAACTTTTTATTTGGGTAAGAGCTTTGTTCCTAATGTTGATCATTAGTGAGAGCTAATGTATATAACTATTTATAGGATATCATTATTCCCATAAGGAATTCTGCATGGTGTGTAGGTAGCTTTCTTATGTCCAAATTAAGATGGGGCAGAGTTAAGGAGAACCTGAACTTCTCTCTTATATTTTAAGACACTGTCGATTTGACCAGATGTTACCAATTACTTGGGAGGACTTATTAAACTTATAGATAGATGTCTTGGGCTCTCCACCCTAAAATGAAAAATTAAAATGTAGAGATAAGGCCTGGAAATTCCTATGTTTGAAAAGCTGCTCTGGTAATTCTGGGGTACAGAGAGATTCAGGAACACTTTCTGGAACACAGTGCTCTAGTGTTTCTCTAGGGGGCAAGAAATGTCCACCTCCTCCTGCAGGCGGAGTTTATAACTGGCCTTCTGGAACATGGGGGCATCTCACGTGTCTGCTAGGTGTGTTATCCACCCAACTTGATGTTCTATCCTATCTGGCAGTGACCCCACACGGTGTTTGAAAGTTAGTAAGAAGGGATCTCCATTACTTCAACCTTTTAAGTGCACCTAATTCCAAATATAATTTAGAAACTTTGTTCTTTATGGATCTATGTGTATGTGTGTATGGTATTTCTAAATCCTAACTGAAACTTTTTTACATTTTTGGTATGTTACACCTGTTGCTTTAACTAAGAAATGGCTACCACCATAGAAAGTAGTACTTCATCTTTTTGTCCTAAATTAGTTCCTTTCAGCTAGGGTTGATTTTTTTGCATCCACCTGCCCACTGCTCCCCCAGGCATGGGGATATTTGGCAATATCGAGGGACATTTTTGGTATCACAGCTGGAAGATAAGTGCTACGTCTAATGAGATAGAGACCACGGTTGCTGCTGAACACCCTACAATGAACAGGAGCCCTCTGTGCCCACCTCTACTTCCCCAAAAAAGAATGATCCGGTCCAAGATTTCAATAGGGCCAAGGTTTAGAAACCTTCCTTTAAAAGATTTTAAATGCATAATTTCATCATTAGCTTTCATTTGTGTCAGACGTTGTTAGCTGGATCTTCCTCTTTTATCTTCACAACCTTATGAGGTAGGTGCCATTATTTTGGCCAGATGAAAGATGAAGAAATAAGCTTGGAGATTTAGTATAACTTGCTGAAGGTCCCACAGCTACTGAATGGTAGA